CTGGTAATCTTTTACTACCACAGTTTCAAAATAAGGCGCTGCCTTTTCTTACCAGTAGCATCATTTTCATAACACACCAAAAATAAATTTAAAAAAACAATGATAAATATCATTTATAACATTTTTATGAGTATATTGTGTGGTGTCGCCAAAAAACACTACTTTGCGAGATTGTGGCGCTGACGAAACGAAAAGAACCAAAAATCATGCTTATAGTATGAACCTTCAGTTTAGCATCCAAACAGTTTCGTGTTGCCGATAATATTATGACAAGAATCTGGGAAATAAAGAGGTTGTTGTACTTACAATCTTATCTAATGAAGGATGTCAAAGTTCAATTTCATTTTTGTTTGTGCTTGGGATTACTCATTAATCTGTTTTATTTATCGTAAGTTTGTTTACCATATAAAAATGTTATCGATAATATAACTTAAATGCGATATAATATCAAATAAACCATAAAATACTGAAAAGTTTTTGGATGTTAGAAACAATATATAATTTTATTAGATATAATTTCTCGATATTTTTCTTATTTTGGGGGGGGGGGGTCTCGATATTTTTCTCATTTTACTTTAGCCTAAATTTTAATTTTATGCTAAAATTTAAATTGTTTCCGTTTAAATATATTTAACATAACATCGAAATTAATATGATTTGGTCTTTGTTATGAATTACAGAATTATTATTATAGTGATAAAATTATTATGGTGTGAGGAACTAAATCTCTTTAGAATTTAAAAATCTTAATATAAATAAATAACATTTTTTCATAAAAAGTAACAGTGAAGAAAAGTTAAATTTAATTTTTCCCAGAAGTAATTGCCACTTAAATTTTTCACTTGCAATCTTAATCATTATTTCTTATGAATATATAGATATTTTTAGTTTAACTGAGAATGCTGAAATTGCATCCAAAATAATAGGGGAAGAGTTGTTCAAAGTTCATTACTGAAATTAATTTTCCATCACTTATGACACAAAGAAAATTTAAAATGATGTATTTTTCCTATACAGTTGTGGTTCAGTTTATTATTTTTAGAAAGGGATAATTATTTGTTATTTATTAAAATTATTTACTTTCCTGAATCTATAATAAAAAAATAAAAAATATGTGTTACAATAAATCATTCAATTCAAACTATTAGTTCACACTCTCCCTATCTCTCTCTCTCTCTGCCTATTTCTCTCTCTCTCTCTCTATATATATATACATATACACACACACACACATATATATATACATGTACATATATATATATACATATACATATATATATACACACACATATACATATATATACACACATATACATATATATATATATACACACATACATATATATATACACACATACACACACATACATATATATACACACACATACATATATATATATACACACACATACATATATATATACACACACATACATATATATATACACACACATACATACATACATACATACACACACATACATACATACATACATACACATACATACATACATACATACACATATATATATATATATATATCTTGTTCAAATTTCCAATCTTTTATAAAACACTTTTTATTCATCCACTCAAGTTCAAATACATTTTTTTTAAACTTATAGTGGATTACACTTGCTGTTAATACAGTTTTTTCAAATATTAATTAATTACTTCTATTCAATTAATGAATAAATAGTAACAAACATAAATAATAGCCCAGCATCATATATAAAAAGGAAAATCGCTAGTTGCGTCCCTGTGGTGCAAAGGATAGCGCGTTGGACTTCTAATCCAAAAGTTGTGGTTTCGAATTCCACTTGGGATGGTAAAATTTCTGAGAATGTGGTTTCTTTTTACTGTACTATTTTATTAGAATAATTAAATTCAATTAATAAATAAATAGTAAAAAAACCAAAAAAAATGTTCACCATATATAGAAAAGAAAATGGGAAATGGCAAGGAAAATCGCTTTCTATTTTATCACCTAATATTGGGATTTTTGTCATATTTATATACATATTTATATAAATTGTAATAATTTAATAAAAAGTAACTAGAATAAAATTTTTATATTAATGTAAAATTTATTTCTATTACTTGTTATAATCATTTCCTCTCACAATTCGGGAACATATTTTCACGTTATTCAGTTGTAGAAGAATCATTAAGAAATCCCTCTGTTACTGATATAATTAAATATTTTTATCAATAGTAATGTAAAATATAACTAATAAATAATTCTGTTTGATGCTTTACTTCCATTTTGCTACATCCTCAATATCTGAACTCTAAAAAAAAACTTTGATTTCTTTTTTCCCCTATTAGTCAATTCCATAATCTATATCTATAATCTTAAAAATCTCATAAATCTTTCATATTTTGTTTTGTTTTGTTTTTCTTTCAGGCTGAAATATTTTTATTTGATGGCATCTTGATTC